GACAGAGACGAGCCAAGCAAAAAGAACTTTTCTAGGTTTTTTCATCTATCCTTATCTCCACTAAGTCTTCTACTGCGTTATGTTCGGCTATTTTGCCAACGTCTGCGAACAGCTCGCTGCTTTCTGGTTCCTCTACCATTTATACAAACCCTTTTGCAGCCCAGCTGTCGTTTACCGTTACGAAGTGCTACTTGGACATGATTTGGTCTCCTAAGACCTCTTCAACTACCTCGGCTTCATTAGGGAATCGTAATACCTGATGGTTGGTCAAGGCTACTGCTCGCATGGCATGCAATCACACTCCCCCCAGTATTATGTTATAAGTGGATGGGACCTTCAGTACCCAGAATTCCATTTGCTTCGCCATCGTTCCTGTTTTGATTGGCAGAATTAACTTGCCTACCAGTCATTCTGGCAATGAGTTGAAGCTGACTAAAGGAGATGTTGCAGGTGCCAAGTCTTTGTCCTCTAATTTCAGTTGTTTGAAGGTTTCATAGTACATTATCTCACAGGAGCTCCCTTGGTCAATTAGGATCCGTTTGATGTCGAAGTTCTTGACGCACAAAGTCACCACCAATGCGTCGTTGTGGGGCATTGTAACCTTGTTAAGTCCTTGTCCGAAAAGGTGATGACGTTCGTTGCCTCCGTTTTTTCCCTTTTGACAATAGGTTGTGTGCTTAGTACCTCTCTCAAGTGCTCAGCTTTTTTAATCATCCTTCTGAGCTCACATACCTGCTTAGGTTCGACGATCCCATGTATCATGTCGATTATATCTTGGGGCGGACCGTCAGTTGGCGTCCTATCTGGCCTGTTGCGGTCTTAAGGTGCGGGCTATGCTCCCCCCTCAATGTATTGGTACATGTGGCCCGCGGCCACTAACTCCTTTAGATATTGCCGTAATGGCATACAGTTTTCAGTTCGGTGCCCCTTTTCATCATGGAAGGTGCAACGGTACCTTTCATCGTAGCCCCTCTACGTCTCTCCCAACTTGGCTGGCTACCGAATGAAGGGTTCATCGCGTATCTCGCTAAGAATCCAGTAGATAGGTTTATTGAATACCGTGGTGATGGCAGTGCAGACTCTCAACTTCCTTGCTTAGGGTCCTCCCTGTTAGCTCGTCTACCTCGTCCATTTTTGCTTGGTTGTTCAACCGTGTCTGCGGTCTTTCTATCTAGTATCGCTATTGTGCCTGATTTTACTTTAGCACGGGCGCTATCTTCTTCTATTCGGATGTGTTTATGCACTCTCTCCATTAGGACCTCCATCATGAGGGGTGGCATCATTATCATTGAATCCCTCAACTTGTTACCAGCCAGCAAACCCCATTTATACTGTGCGATAGCGAGGTTTGTGGGGCAATCCCCAATCTGATTGAAAGTCTCCCAATACCGACTATTGTAAGACCTCAATGTTTCATTCTCGCCCATGTCAATGGAGGGTAGCTGGTCAATCTCCACTGGTGTCTTGGTGTTTGTTCTGAATCTGGTCAAATGCCTTCGCCAACTGCGCCTATGAAGCTATGCTACCTTTCGGCAACCTTTCAAACCATGTTAAACCCAGGTCACCAAGGCTGGAAGGAAACAAGATATACATTAGGGCCTCGTTTCATCGATACACGGCCATAACCTGGCGAAAGTGGCTTAAGTGCATGTAGGGGTCTGACTTCCCTTCATAGGTCGTGAATTTGGGCTGGTGGAAGCCTGAGGGTTGTGGTGCGTTCTTAATTGCCAAAATGAATGGTGAGCTTTGTAACCTTGCTAACACTTTATCTGTTGGTTCGTAAGCAAGACGCGACATTGGCATCCCTACCTCGACACTCCCATGTGTCTTAGGAGCCAATCAATGTAAAGCTGAAACTCTACGGGGGTCGAGAGCCCTGGTGTCCTCCTTCCATCAGGCCCTTTCCTCTAGCACTGTTCATAGGTTTGCTAACCTAGGCAACTTCGTGTGCCTAGATGTCGTTTGGTGCGTGTGCGAGGGCTGATAACTGTTTCCCTCTATATACGACCTCTCGGTCCTCATTCTCTCTAACCTGGAGTAACGAGTCCTAGAGGTTCGTGATTGTGTATCGCCTATCCTTAGGCTTCTACTTACTATCTGGGACAGTGTGACTTGCCTGTCACGATCTTCTGAGTGGCGAGGGTGTGCCCTACTCTTGCCCATCGCTTCTTCTGCCGCCCTTTTGCCCTTTATCTAGAGCTTCATAGTCTCTATGTCTGCCGCCATCCTTCTTATCAATTCGTCTTACTCCTTCACGCGATCCTCCAGAACCTGAGGATCCAACCTCCTCTTCTGCCTTTTAGGACTTTGGGAACGACGAGGATTGAAGCCCCGTCTCTCTCGTGTATCCCTCCGGGAGTTCCGTCGTTGGGGGTTTAACTCTACTATGGATGGGATAACAGGTAAGCCTTCATGTCTCCCACCCCCCTATGGGGTTTGCCATCAATAGTAGATTGCGGCAAATCTTCATTGTGCGCTATTGATTTCAACTAAAGAGGAAAACTTGATCAAAAGGTTTAGTTCTTTGTGATTTTTTTTCCTACAGACGGCACCAATTGTACAAGCACGAAATAATCTTCTCGTATAATCCTGTTGATTAAGTTTGCATTCCTCCAAATGTCGTCGCTTTACTATCTAAAAACACAGACGTGAGCTAGCCAGCGGGTGTGTACCGGAAACCTCTCCGATGCCTAAGTCAGCAAATAGACAATACACACAAAAGCTCTGTGTATTTGTGAGTAAAAATTGTCATACCTGTACATAGGTCATGTCATGAGCTTTTATAGATTCTGTCCGGCACAATCCTAGTAAGACTCCAACTCTCCTTATAAGAGTCCTCTTGAGAATCATACTCTCAAGGATAATGTCCATCCTGATAACACCCTACTCATTGCAAGCTAAGTGAGATGGCTTAAACCTCCTTACCTCGGTTTAGTAATAGCTCAACCGAGCTAACATGGTCACGCCCTATGCCAGACCTAACCATGCTCACATAGCTCGGCGCTACTGCAGGTTACTCTACAAGTTTTTACTGTTTAGATGACGTCCTGCAGAGCCATCATATACCTCGATCCTCCTTCCAACAATACCTTGGCTCAGGACGGCCAGACCAGGCCACTAATAGCCTGTCTCTTACCGAACTGTTGGGCTAAAGGACCGAACTTCTTTACCTCGGCCCGTAGTACAGCACAACATCCAGAAAATTGCACCTAGCTCGGTCCTTTTCAATAGTTGTACTTAGCTCGGTCCAATTTTCATATAAATTACTCTCTCTTATACATTACACAGAACTTTTATCTTTTCCACCAACGAGTTGGTATAGTATATAAAATTGATTTATTTGTAAGATATAAGATAGTATCTAAAATTTAATTTGCAATACTATTTTGTAAACCATTTGAGGAAAATGTATTAGTCAGGAGCAATGTTGTAAATCAATAGTTTTTTCATTTAACATTATTAAAATACATAATAAAATATTATTCGTTTTCATTATTTATTGAAGTATGTTCAACACAAAATTTAAAAGGTTATTTACATACAAGTTTTAATTTATGAACTTATACTTCATTAAATTTTGATTAAGATTTTTTAAATCTTCAAGTCCTATTAAAATTTTAATAGTTAGAATTATTTTTTAAATAATGATTATTCATCATTTATGATTATCTATAAAGGAACATGATGATTTGACATTTATTTTGATTTTTAAAACTTTAAAACATTAACTTTTAAATTGAAAAAACTCAATAAAAATTATGTGAAATATTTTTGAAAAAATTGAAAAAGATGAATTTTTTTTTTATGCAAAATTAAAATTTTTGTGTCTATAAAGGAGCATGATGATAGAACATTGATGTGTAAAATTAGAAAAAAAAAAACTTTAAAATAATTGATAATGTTTTTAGTTTTAAAACTGGAAAAAAAATTGATAATATTCTAGGTTTTATTGGATAGTTGAATCAAACCAATAAGTAGAAGAACAAAAACGTTTAATCTCATGCTTTGTCTTTTTCATCAGTTAATGAAACAATTATTTGGAATATTACTCTACAGAATTGATAATGTTTTTAGTTTTAAAAATTACGATAAACTGATAATATTCTCAATTTTATAAAATATGACTTATTAATTTAAAAAATCTTAAATAGAATCTGAGTTACCATATAACATTTGTAAATAAGAGTTTTAGGTAATTACTCAAATTTGAATACAAGGGGGACATAAAACGATTGACAATAAAAACCAGTCATTAGTTAGAAATTAGAAGCATCAATGTGATTTGCCAATAAACAACATTTTGAGAATTTGACCATTGACTAATGCCCTGTGGACAACCTACAACTGCGGTTTACTGCTAAAGCTTTAGAGTTTTGATGGTTCAATTTCAAGCTTAATGAATAAAAATGATACTATCAAGGCTAGCCCTCAAATAGTAACCCAATTACCTTAGCAAATTATAGAAATGTCCTTAATGTAATGGCACAAAATCTCTCTCATATTTACGTTTAGGCATTTTCTTCAAAAAATTAATATTTACATATAAATAAGTTTTTATTAGATTTTCTTATTAGTAGATATAAAGATAGTGAGACTCACATTAATAACTACACATAAAATTCATATAGTGATAAAAAAATATAAAATAAAAAAGTAATTTATGTATAGCATTTATTCCTTCAAAGGCCGAATGTAATTCAACTTATACAATGCATTTTCTAAAGAAAACTTATAAAGCGCAAACTATAATAATTTAGAGACTATATGCATGTAATATATTATATATATAGAATTGAATATAGAACAAAATATATATCAATGGATAAGATTTTCTTTTTTTAAAAAAACCCATTCCATTAACTAACTCTATAAAAATGAAGATTTGACTAAATATGGAAATGGTAGTATGGTAGATTTGTTCTTCAAGAAGGCTATACTTACAATCTAAATCAAATAAACTCCTGTGTCTTTTCCTTTTCCTAATTGAGATTGCTCTCACGCCACAAGAGTAGCCAAAACCAAACACCACAAAACCAAATAAATCCAGCAAATTCTCGGGAGAGAAGCCATGAAAATGTCGAAATCTCAAATCCTTCGAGCCTTATTCATCTCCATATTGCTTCAAATCCTCATCGTCTCTGCAACAAATACTGTAAATAGTAGCAATCCACAACCATTGCCTCTCCACAACAACAAGAACCATCACCACCATCACCACCAACAGCAACAGCAGCAACAACTACAACAACAACAGAAGTTGTCATCGCCTCCAAACAACAGCAACAACCAACAACAACAACAGCAACAACAACAACAACAACACCAACAACAGCAACAAAAGTTGTCATTAGATGCACAGGAGTACCTCACCGCCCACAACGAAATAAGGAGTAAGAAGGGAGTGGGGCCACTGCAATGGGATGAAAAGTTGGCCAAGTTTGCCCAATCATGGGCAGAGCAACGTGTAAACGATTGCAACTCCAAACACCATTCTGGTGGTCCTTACGGAGAGAACACCCTATGGCTAAAATATGATGAATACTCTCCGGCGAGGGTGACCCAAGTGTGGGCCGATGAGGAGAAGAACTATGATCATCAAAATCTTTTTTGCAAATGCCAGCCTACAGAAACTAAATGCATGTGTGGCCATTATACCCAGGTTATTTGGGGCAATACACTGAGGGTGGGTTGTGGTAGTGCCACATGTAACAATGAGTTGGGTATACTTTTTGTTTGTTCATATGATCCACCAGGAAATGATCCGAAGGTGAACCCTTTTCAAAAACCCAACAACGGAGCCACGCCACAGTAGCCACCAACAACGCCACAGTTGTCACCATCACCACCACAACCACCGAGTAAATAGAAAACACAAAATTTCACTACAATTTATTTATTTATCTTGTCAAAAGTGTTCTCATCTTTGTTAGTAATCACTCATTTGTTTAAACTAAAGGATCATGTATTATTATGACTCACATTCATGATAAATCCAATTTTGACTTTTGGTAGCTTGTGATAACAAAAAATTTACTATAATTCCAACAAATTTTTAGTCAAAAAAGAAAGGATAAAAATCAGAATCAAAACTCATCAAGTACCTGCCAAGATTCTTCACCCTTTGAAAGTACAAGAGATGAGTTTTCTTCACATATGGCAAAACAATCTTGTTCTCCCCTTTCCACTCGTGTATTTTGAAAATTTAAATGGAACCAAAGTGTTACAACTGCTAACAATATGAATCTTGAAAAAAGAACTAAACAAATATAAAAATAGAAATAATAATAGTAATACAAAAAATATTTCAGCAATTAGACTTGTAATAATACAAAAAAACAAGTAAAAAAAAAAAGGTTGATGCCACAACAACACAACTCACAGCTGTAAAGTGTAACTAGTGAAACACTTGTCTAAGACAGTCTGCAGGAATATGATGCATAAATAGATTTGAAAATGTATTCAACCAAATAACACAAATAAAATAGTTTGGATAACTTCATATTCAAAACCTTCTAGCAAGTGCACAACATATACTACCATCCTACATCCCAACTCAAAATAACAAACATAATGAATGAGATACATTGAAATCGACATGGACGAGACCATCAAATAAATTTAGCAAAACATCCCAATTTAGGCTTCAAGTTTACTTGCCAATTAGTTACATAATATAGAAGTTGTCTACCTGAGATTGTCTCTTAGCCCATACATCCTAACACAAGGTTAGAATTCTAGTTCTTTCGGAGAGGTATCCTAATATCGTTTGAACAAAGAATTTGTCATGGAAGGACTAGACTAACCCACAAAGGGGAATTCTTTTTTTTCTTATGGACATTGTTTTGTTCATGAAGACTAAGAGAGAAGTGAAGCAAAATTCTCAAAAATGGCTTCCTTTTTCATGCAAATGTTACCATTTTGATTTTTTTATTCCCACATTCTTTATGAGAAGTAAACCACAACATAAACTCTCTCTCTCTCTCTCTCTCTCTCTCTCTCTCTCTCCATTCAATGGAGTAAACTGAAAACCCTCTCCATTCAATGGAGTAAACTGAAAACCAAAACAAAGCAAACCCATCTCTAGGGTTTTTTTTTTTTTTTAATCAATCAAAAAGAGACCTTTATTGATGAGAAACCAATACAATGTATAGGAACATTACATCAATAAAAGAGGAGAATGGTGCAAAAGACATCATAACTCAATTTTCAAATCCTAACGAAGTTGGCACACGGAAACAAGAACAATCATTTGACAGCACCTATAGACCGCCCGAACTCTCTCCGTGGGCCCCCCTTTCGGAGAGGACACAAATTGGGTTCTAGCTACTACAATTCGGACTCCTGTCACGGTTCTAAATCTAATCTCACAAAGCGCAATGTAAGACTGATAAATCACCAAAGAGTCCAAATTCTGCAAATCGTTTTTAATCAAAAAGCGCCAAACATGGACTACTTTGCCAGATTTCAGAGTCGCCATCTAAATATTTTGTTTTAGAAAATTTAGGAAATCCTGATTCGTGCCTAAGGCCACATGTCCATCATCACCAAAATTGTCTTGACTCGGGAACTTTGGTACGAAGGGGGAAGGTCATGAAATGAGCACCCCCGCTCGCCCGATCAAAGGATCGGCCTCTACTGAGCATGATATGTTATTTTGAAAACATATGTGTTCTTACCCGATTATTAGCTAACTTACTATGTGATGCACACAACACATGAGTATAGACTAAATCGCTCGATTTGGAACAAAACATCTCATGTTTGTTTTTCAAAAGTGGTTTGAAGATGCTACTCGCAAGCCTCATGGCAAGCATGCTAAACATGGCAATCACTTACACACATGCAAGGATGCTAAAGCGTAAACACTTACAGTGTACTCTAAGCCAAAACAGAAGCTCGTTAGAAATCATGCATGATCCTAACTATGTCAACAATGCCTAATGCAACACATGCAAAATACAACTAAAATAGGCTCGATTATCTAAAATGGCATATGAATACAACACTTGATAACATGCTTTGAAACACGTATTCAAGAAAGTGTATTGAAATACAATGCAGTTTGAATGATGCGCCGAGCCCGATGCATGCAAGGTGAATGAATGATGCACGCATGCAAACATAAGGTATGCTAATCGAAATATGCACTAATCTAACCACTGAAAGCGGGTAAATAAAAGGGAGAAAGACGTGGGGTTAGAAGACATTCACACGCGCACGTATACTTATTACAACATTTACCCTCTCGACGGAGGGTCCGAGTGAAAGAAAGCTAACTTGCTACGCTAATTAAGCTAACAATTACAAACCAACTAATTAACTAACTATTCTAGCTAATTAATTACAACACAATTGAATAACTAGTTAAGCTAAGCTAATTAGTTACAAACCGAATTAATTAATTAAGCACTTAACTAATTAATTACAAAAATGACTAAGCTAACTAGCTAATTAGCTAAGCAATTTAAATGAACGGCCTCGGGAAGTGAGGGATGCATGCATGCTCGGTTGCCCCGCTTCCTCCGAAAGTCCGTTACTTTGCCACCAGTTGCCTCTGTTTGCATTCTCCTTGGTTCCTGAACACCGAACCAATCTCCAGGTTGTTTCTGCTCCAGAACCAGAACAACTTCTGACCACCTCTGAGCTTGAGAACTGTCGGCCACTTCCTCTGGCCAGTCGGCCACTTGCTTTTACATTCTCCAATTTTGCTACAAACAGGGAACAACAGAGCCAAAGCAAGATATTTGCAGGATATGTGTGTACAACCACCCTCCTTATCATTTCTCAAGCTCAAAAGAGTGTGGTACTCGACTCTCAGGCCACCAACTGAGCATCACAATGCACGATGGCCGAGAAGCCAAGTTTTTACAAGTTAATGAATGCACAAGTAAGACTCGATGAACCTCCACCCTATCATGCATGATCAAGGGTGTTGGGGACTAAGAAATAAGGTATGTTTCATCACTTCAAGTATGAAACATCTCTCATTTCTTGTGTTTGGATTAAAGTCCGATCCAAACACATGCAATGCAACACAAACATGTTATCTTGGCATGTTTCACTTGGTCCAATTTTGTTTACACATTTTAAGCTTACCAATTAATCCTTTAATTGATTTGGTCCAATGGTGAGAAGTCCTCTAAGGGGAAAGATGGCTCAAGCCACAAGCATCTTGAGCATGAAAGAAGCATCATGCCGTTGGTTAGTAGAAACCCTTAAGAGAAGGCTAAAACCATTAGGCATGAGCGCTTCAATTTCGTGCTCAAACCAACAAAGGGCTTAAGACCACTTTCGAAAGTGATATAAAAAATGAAAGATGGAATGCAATGGCACATATTCCAGCACTGAAATAGGATGCTAAATGACATCAAAGCATGAAAATGATGCATGCAAGACATGCTCGGATTCAAAAGCATTGAAGCTAGCAAAGAGCATAACACTAGAACCATGTAACACCATGCTCAAAGGACTAATCCAGCCCCAAGCAGACCTCATGCATGCCGAAACAATGGCTAAAATGGGCTGAAACGATAGCATGAAAGGCAAGAAAACACATGCTCAATTGATGGCTCGCAAGCGAGGCACAAAGCTTAACTCTCAAGAGCACTTAAAAAATGATTCAAGTGGAAGCATGGAAAAGATATAAGCATGGAAAAGAATTGATAATATTAAATAATGGCCAAAAAACATGCTGGAGTGGAGCCAATACATGCTAGAATTGTAGATTAAGACATGAAACATGTTAGGCTAGCAAGTAAGATTACACTACAAGTGTATAAAGCATGCAAGAGGTGACCAAACCAACCAAAATCAGAGTTATAACATGCTAAAATAAGACCAAAAACATGTTAAGATAGAGCCCCAAAAGGGTAAAAAAAACATGCCAAAGAGTGAGGCCATCAACACATGCAAACAAGGTACAAAGGGGGGGGAACCACCCCCACCTATTTTGGGTCCCAAAACCCACTATCTACCACTGAAATTCATCTAGAATTCAGTGGTTAAAAGGCCAAGAAAAGGTGATCTCAAAGGCTTTAAAACATGGCTCAAAGCAAAGCAAAAAAAGCCACAAAAAGGGGGGTAGACCACCCTTAACTCAAACAACCATTTTTAACAAAGGTTTTTGTAGTTGAAAGCTAGGCCTAAAACAGCATGCAAAGGTGGCCAAACACTTGATCAAAATAAAGCTTAAAGAGGGAAGACACTCACCCTTGAAGCACAACGTTAAAATCAGCAACTTCTAAGCCAAAATCAGTCTTTAAGAGCTCAAATAAGACCTCCAAGCACCTTAGCTTCAAGGTAGAGGTGTTTGATCAAGAGTCCCTTTGCAAATGCACCAAGAATTCCCACTTTCAAGCACAAATATATATATATATATAGAGAGAGAGAGAGAGAGAATTCTAGAGATAGAGAGTAGATTTTTTGCTCTAAAAAAATCTGACCCCTCAAGAATTGAGAGGCACCTCCCCTTATATAGAATTGCAAGCCCTAAGCTTGTTTGACAAGCTAGAAGCTTGTTACCATCCCTCCACACACGTGCATGGAGGATGTATTCTATACCCAACAGCTGGCACAACTAGCACCAAAAATATCTGTAAAAATAGAAAAATGGTCGTCGGCCACTTCCACTAGCCTACTGACCACTCCAAGTGGCCTACAAAAGAAAAAAGTGGCCTACAGCTGCCAAAAGTGGCCGACAAGTCCTCCCCTCCCTCTATGCAAAGAGTAACAAGGTATGGTCCAAAAATAAACCAAGAAGAAAAGAGTCAAGAGGTCTCAAGACAAGGTGTTCAGCCAAAAGCTCTGGACACTCATAACGAGCACAAACATGCGTAGTCACAGAGTGCACAAACGATGACATCAAAGTCTTGAGGTTGGTCAAAAATGGGGTGTCTACAGCACCAAATCCAAAGTTGGTAAGAGACCAACAAATAACAAATAACAGAATCAATAGAAACAACAAAATCAATAGAACACCAGTAGTA